ATTATTGAATATCTGAATGAGCAAAAACTTAACAACTTATAGTTTTTAGGATTTTCAACTAAAAACTTAATTATTCGAAATTTAATAATTAATAACAGTGTTCATCTTATTGTGAATATATGAAATATTTTGCTGACTGTAAAATTTCATAATAAAACAATTGGGTTGATTTTTCTTTAATTTTGTATACATAGATGATTTCATAAATTAAATATTAGACAATATCTATAATATTTTGACGGTATTATGGTAGAGCTTTTTTTCGTCGAAACATTACGGTATTGTATGTCAATGATCTTTACTTTTTTCAAATTTTAAAATATCTGTGCATAAATTTCACAAAGGACAGTATGAACAGAAATTTAAAATCCAATGTTATCAGTATCCTTATTGATTCACATGGGAATTATTCTATTCTTCATAGAAGAAAAATAAATTCAACAACTTTGCTTAAACCATTATTGTCATTCATCATTGTCTTACGAATGCAAAATTTTTAAATAAATACCGTTTTTAATAGTATTATATTAAGCATAATATTTGAAATGTTTTCTGTACTATATGCAAATATGAAAATTTTAATTAATTAATTAGTAATTTCAATAAACGAAATGTAACTTGTAATTACAATGAAGTTAAAATATTAATGAAATTTATGCAAAATTTCGTATTCAATAAATAAAATGAAAATTGTCATTTAAGTGAAATTTTTTTCCTTTCACTTTTTGTTTACATAAGGAATATTTGTTTGATCAAATATATTGCCTACGAAAATGGATAATATAAGAAGTATTTACTGAAAGGAGAAAATGATTTGCTTTCGATGATAAGCAAAAAGGAAAATTGAGACCATAATAGTTGTATAATTTTATATCTTCATTCAATTCATTCTTATTTCATTTCCATTTCATATTAATATTATATATTATCTTATTTCCATTTCGTATTAATATTGTACATTATCTCACTAATACTATCAACACTTTAAGATTAATTTATATTGTTTATTTTGTATTAGTATTCTATACCTAACGCACACTTAATATTTGTATTTTATTATCAAAATTTCAATATATATTTCATCTTTATTATCTATTTCATTGTTTTTATCAGTATTATGGATAATTCATATTTGATATATACATATTTCATATTTTATGTTCAAAAATATATTAAAAGTATATTTTTGACTAAATCATTCTTAATCTAAGAAAAAATTATTTTGAAATTTTTGAAAATGAATTTTTTATTTCATTGTAAATAAAAAAATATTATTAAATAAGACATTTATACGGCTGAAATTTCCTTTTCTTCATTTTCAATATTCATATTGAATATTCAAAAATGATATTTCGAAATTGTTCGATGCATTTCTTTTCCCATTTTTTTATATTTAAAATATTTTCATTCATTCAAATTTTTTAAATTGTAAAAAGGAATGTTTTCGAATTGTTTAATAATATTTCTATATTTATTTGAATGATAAAATCGTTGCATAATATGATATATTGTTGAAAATTATGCAAATGAGAGAATGATTTTGAAATTTCAGATACTTTTTTTCATTCTCAGTGATTGCCATCAAATGGTAATAAACTTTATGCCTTCTGTCGATTGAATTTTATTATATGATAAATTTATTGCATAACTTTAAATATGCCGAATATTTCTTTCTAAACCATTATTCTTGAATATATCTCAATGATTTATTAGTAAATAATAATTATGTATAAACACGAAATGCATAATATCTAATACTAAATACATATTTGCATCGGTATGATATAACCATTGATAATAATTCTTTTGATTCTTTATTATCAAATAGTGTATTCATTTATAAACAATTTGTTCCTTTGTTATATTTGCGTAGTAAATTTATTAATTTCAATTTTATCGCAGAATCAAATTTTAGTAATTGAATTAATCCAATTGATAATTATGTTAAAAATTTTTTAATAATTATCTTTTGAAAAAAAAATATTTTCTTTTGAAGTGATTTCGAAATATTTGATATGTATCAAATGCTTAAAAATGTTTCATTTTTTAAAATATTCTTTTAACTTACCGCTTTCATTTAAATTTTACATCACATTTGCTTAGTTTTATTACTAATTATTCATTTTAGATTTTTTCATTCCATTTTTTTATTTCTTTTTGCTACGTTTTTCAAAACAGGGAAGAAAAACAAAACATAATAATGATTTCAAAAAACAATTAAATTAATTTTTCCTCACTGATTAATTCTTCTTTCTTCTTTGTTTATTTAATTCTTCTCTCTCTTATTTAATATATCTCTCTCTCTTTTTTGTTTTATCTCTCTTGTTTAAGTAACTATTTTTATAAATTGTTGTATGCAAATTGCATTAAGGTAACAAAAAGGCATGATATGATATCAACAAAAACATAAAGCCTTGCAATTTGGTAATTGTTGCGCTAAGAGAAATTTTTGATATGAGCCTTTATCGTCATCTTCTGTTGTTTCTCTATAAGTCTTAACATTAAACATCAAAATTAGCCCTGTTCATGTCATTTTCAATCAACTAGAAGTGAAATATCCAAATCTTTCTTCCTATGATATCTAAACAAAAAGCACTTAATTACATCGTTCAAACTATTTAATTCGTTTTTTTAGTAATTAAACTTTTTTTTATAAAAGATGAAATTTACACCTTTGATAAAAATAATTCAAAAATAAATGTTTGCTGCGTTGAATTTTTCAAAGAAAATGAACAATAAAAGGGACATTTGCGCTTTTATGTATTAAAATAATAGCAAATAACATCAATTAATAATATAAATAATTAAAATAAAAATTTCTTAAAAATGCTTCTCTAATTTTTTTTGCTTTATCTTTCATATAATTAATATCCATATAAATTTCAATTACACTAATTTATAAATTAAATTTCATTTATTAAGTATAAAATAGGATTAAGTCATATGCATTTGAAAATATTAGGAAAGTACATGTATTAATTATAAAGTGCATTAAAATTCACTGTATAATCATAATTCTTTTTATTATATTTTATATATAATGCGATATCAATTATTGATACGATTATAATTCATTGTGCATTATTATCACATCTATATTGCTTCATTTAATTACTGTTAACACTATTAATTCCTTTTAATGCTCTCTGCTGTATTGGAACTGACTTTAATTCATTTTTTTTATACTGTCATGTTTTTATTAATTATTACCAATGTAATTAATTAATCCATCTAATGTCGTCAGTGTTAGAATTTTTAAAATTTTTCATTTTAGAACCAAAATTATGCTTGGTAGTTTCCAATTTGGTTAGTTATGAGTAAATGAAATGTGTAACTTAACTTTAGTTCCATAGATAAATTAGAAATAAATTGAATTACCGAATGCAATCGATCATCTGCCAAATATTTATTTATTTTAAGATACATCCAAACATTTCTAATTTTATATTTTCTCCTATTTTTATGCATAATTTTCTAAGACAATATAATTTTGTTAATTTCATTCGTTTTCTCATTTTTAAATTATTTGTAAATTTATACTTTTTTAAAAATCATTTTTTCCAATTCTTTTTTTGGTATAAATGAAAACATTTGCATGTTTCTTTTCAAAAAATTTCATTAATTTTTGTTTTCTCTTCAGTTATTTCTAATTTAATTTAAAGAAAATTGAGAAAACGCTTTTTTTGTTTTGCATAGCAAATAACTCAAAAAGTCAAAATTTCCTTTTTTTTGGTTAAATAATCATTCTTATTGATATTGATAATAATCAGAGATAATGAATGAAATTTGATTAATATTATGAATTCACAGCTCGAGCTTATTGCAAATATCATATACTGAACTAGTCTTTTCTAATTTGCCTAATTCATTTATCGTTCTTTAATTATTAATAGCTTTAAATTTTTATGATTTCTAACAAAAGTTTTTATCATTTTCGAACTTTTATCTTTTCTAGAAAAAATAATCTTTTTCCAAAAACAAAAATGATATGTTATTTATTTTAAATGACAGAATGATTTGATATATTTAAATATAATAATTTGTTTTGTTCACTCATACAGCACAATTTCTTGTTTTAGTATACTGAAAATTTGCTTTCTCCAAGTGAACTAAATTTTCAACTGATCAAATTTTTGTAAAAATGTTAAAATCCTAAAAATATACATTTTTTATTGAAATCAAAATTATTTATGTGACAACTCTTTTTGCTGTATTTTAAGTGAAAGATGAGAAAAGTGATCGGATCGGATATTATTGTAATTCAACATTGTCGAAGACAATTGCATACATTACTTACAAATGATGTTTATTCTGCATTTTCATAAGTTGAAAATCAAAAACAAATCATTTTTTTGGCCATATTTTTTCCGTTCATATTTCATTTCTTTTCATTGCATTTTTATTTTAATTTATATTGCTATAAATAAATTTGAATATTTGAACTTTTTTATCAAATACAATCGAAAATTTTAAAAAAATAGCAAAGAAAGATAAGATGATATTTTGTGTGAATTAATTTTAATTATATTAAATTGAAAAGCAAAATTGATATTTAACAAATTAATGATGAATAGTAAATCAAAAATATTTTTTGAAAATTGTTTTGAAATATGGACAATGTGAAGCTGAAGTAACGTAAACCTTGCATTAAATAAATAATAAAATTAAAATGTTTCAATTGCTGCTTTCAAAAATTTTCAATTTAAAGAATGAATAATCTTTTTATATATTATTTTAACAATTAATTGTAATTAATTATTTCATCGATCAGTTGAAATATTTAATTTTATTTCAGCATAAAAGTTTAATGTTTTTATTGTATAAATATTTCGAATTTAAAATAAATTATGATTTTCAAATTTTTTAGCGATTTTACAAAAAAAAGTTTGAAATTATATTTAATTAATTTTACTAACGATAATGATATTAATGATATTAAGTACTGGTGTAAAGAAGAGGACGATGAAAGATATATGTTGCTGGACGCGCCCTAGGCGGTAATGGATTTTTTTAATGTTATTATAATGCTTATGGCCGAATTTACATTTCATCAGGCGCAACAACATTCTCTAAATAATCATCATTCAGGCTTTGAAGCCTTTTCTAATGATGAGCACTCTGGCGTACCTATTACAAGCGATTATCCTCAGGTAAATTTTCTTTTATTTTTATAGTAAGCTAATTTTTTTTTCTAATTACTATTATTCAAAAGCTTTTATAATTCTATTCAAAAATTAAACGAACCACTTACTCATTTGTCATTTATTTATTGTCAAGGTTTTAACTGTCATTAATTATATTTGAAAGAAAAATTAATGGAGCAATATTAAAACAATATTATTATTATTACTTGAAGAGAATATTATTAGTTGATAAAAATTAATTGAAACAAAAACAACAGCAATTGTTCCAACAAATTCAATGTCATATTTGAAAGATTCTAAAATAATTTTAATTCGTAAAATGTTTTCGAGAAAAAAAGAACAAACATTTATTTCTTTAGAAGTATTATTTGAGTAATCAAAAATTCCTTTTGAGAAAACAATTCATAAATAAACAATAATTAATTTATTTTTAACAAAATTTAATAACTGCAAGTATTAGCATATTTTTGATAAATTAAAAGAAAAAAATTTCATTCTTCCATTACAAATAATATCGTATAATTCATTTGCAATAATAACTTATATAATTTTTATTTTAGTGTAGGAATTATTATATTAGAACGTATTTGTGGTACTTTCATATATAATTCTTATCAATCGACAACAAAATAATCATATCAAAATTTGTTTGCAATGTTTGCTAACTATCTTTTATTATGTCTGATTTATCTAATAAGTTTGTTAGAATATATTATGTTCCGAAATTTTGCTATTTCATTTCATTTCATTTCAATTTTTATTCCAGTAAAATTGTCCCTTAAAATCCGTTAAATTCTTCTCTTCCTCTTTCTCTGCTTTCTTTCTCTCTTCCTCTCTCCTCCTCTCTCTTCCCTTTACCTTCTTTTGCATATAAGTGTACATCAGAAAGAAAATGAAAAAATCAAATGAAAAAATTTTTCAAATGGTTGCATATATCTCTCCTTTGAAGATATCAAAAAGATGAAAGAGAAAGAAGTGGAGGAAGAAGAGGAAGAAGAGGAGGAGGAGGAGGAGGATAGGAAGGAGAGGGAGGAGGAAGGGGAGGAGGAGGAGGAGGAGGCGGAGGATAATACTTAATGGGAGGAGGAAAAGAATATTAAGTATTGAGAAAAATATATATATAAATTGTAATATAAAATATATTGCATATATTTAAATTTGTGTATAAAATATATAAATATATATGCTTAAAAAAACTCTTGTTTTGGTTAAAAGTGAATTGAAAAATAGATGAATAATAATGCTCTCTTAGCTTATACTTCAAAATAAATTTAATGCTTGCCTTCCATAAGTGTCAGCAGACAATTTTCTTTCCTGAGTGCATTGCGCCACATAATTTCATTTTGAACATTATGAATGATAGAATGAGGAGAAATGAAAAAAGAATCATTTTAATGTAGCATCATGGACTATATACATGTTTATATTTATATATGTATATATGTATGTATGTATGTATATAGTCCACGATCCTATTTATATGAAAATAAAAAGCTTGGGCAAAATAAGAGTATAGGCTTAAGAGCATTCTTTATAGTCGTTAAATACGACTGATTGATTTAGGATGAAGCCTAAAGCCAAAACAGAAAGCCTTCTTTTGGTTCCAATAGAAAAAAGGAAAAGGGAGAAAAGAAAATTACATTTTGTATTTAAATAATTTTCAATAAAATTTTGCAACAATTTTTTAATAAAAAATTGTACACCTGTAATCATTCTTTTGTTTTTTTTCAGGAAAAGGATTACAGTAATGTAGATAATTTTCCAGAAGGAAGGTTAGCTTTTTACTATTCATTTTTAATAATTATTGGTAAGTTCTTTTATTATTTAATAATTCAAGTTAATTATTTTTAAATATTTTTTATTTAAATTTGCTAATTTAGTTTTCATTTTCAAAATTTTTAATATTTATTAAAATGAATTCATAAGTATAGAATGTGAAATGATTTTTCATGCAAATTACATCGACACGTTAATATATTAATATCATAACAAATTATGTCAAATGTTTATTGGTTATAAAACCTAACGTTAATTGAGTCACGTGAAATTAAGAAAATACGATATACGCTTCATTTTATTATGCTATTACATTTACAATAACATTCATCGATTCACGCATTCTCTAAGAATAATAATAATAATAATAATAATGAAATAATAAAATTCCCTTTGCTTATTTACATATGCTTTTCATTGATTTTATGATTTTCAAATAATATTAGAAGGTTTGAAAATAGGAATTTACAGTTCGAATCCACCGCATAATCCTTATATGAAAACTGCCTTTGATAGTAATTTCAAAACGCATGAAATATGTGAATCATGGAATTCCGGCAATCAACCGGATAACTTACTCTGGTTTGAATTTATTCGAATTATATCTTTTTGTTTTTCAAAAAGTTTTATTTTTTAATTAACAAATTAACGTATAATATTTCATTTTTCATATTTTAGTATTTTAGTACTATTGTATCACATTATCATAGTACTTTTACATTATGTTATTTCGATGTTTTCATATCACATTATCTCACCATTCTTTATGCTATTTTAAGTTTTATATCATATTATCTTTGCATTTTTATATTATATTTTAGCCTTAAACATATACTTTATCTAATATTTTTAATTTTTTTTTAATATTTTTTAATTTTTGATTATATGAGATCCATAATTTTTAATTAATAGCGCCAATGAGATCCATAATTAATAATAAATTTCAGCATTTTTTCGAATTCCGTACATTTACTTTGGTGTTTTGTATAAAAATATTGAAGTGAAAATTAGTTACAAATGTTTAATTAATTAATGACAAATAATCAATTAATTACAAACATTTTCACAATATTTTAAGAAATATGAATTGCAAAAATTTTATCTTTATCTATCTGAAGCAGAAGGAAAAAAATTAACAAATGGATCCATTACTTGATTATTTGTTTACTTCTCTCCTTAGATATCTATGTAATAGTTTGTTCCAAATCTTAAACATTACGTATAACGACATTATCATTCAACACTTACCGTATCTTATCGCATAACCAATTTATTATGCAATTTATTTCTAGGGCAGAACCAGCGGATCGTTTATTGCGAATTATTGGGAACGGCGTTGTCAAGGATGGATATAATATGTTTATGACACCCAGTCAAGCTGAAGGTCATCTTTATCATATAAAATTTCAGATTAGAGAAAAAATTTTAATGTATTTAATACAGTTTAATCAGTTTAATACAGTTGTTTAATAATTTAATTTGGACAACATTTTAATACAAAATTTATTTCTAAGCCAAATTCGAAGTTTATCTCTGAAAATATTACTCGTAATTGTCAAAAAGACAAATTAATTGCAAAGACAATAATAAGAAAATTCGTTTGTTAATTTACAGGTAAAACAACCGTAGTATCCGTGGCCATTTATATCGAGTCGATGTCATCGTTTAGAACTCAGACAATGGTGAATTATATCAAAATTTGTTTTAAGTTCTAAATTTGTACTTGTTTATTCGCGTTTGCTTATTCATTTTGGATTGATAAACAAATGTAATTTTAACCCTAAGTGCCAGATTTGTGAAATTATAGCTGAAAAAATATAGTTTTTTTATGAGAAATTCACCAAAGTTTAATTAAAGTCGATTAATTAAAGTCGATTATCGATTATCGATTTTCAAAGTTTAATTAAAGTCGATTATCGATTTTTTTTTAATGCTATGTTGTTAAAGTTTTAGTTCTTTAAAATCAAGCACTTTAAAATTTAACTTTTTTTTAGGATTTTGAAGTTGATATGTATCTTGCACTTGGCTGGTATGATCGCCGCTTGGCCCATAATTGTACACATCCAGTACTTGTAACACATAAATTCATTGCTGATCGTTTGTGGCAGCCAGACCTCTACTTTGTTAATTCCAAATTTGCCTACCTCCAAGAAGTAACAACACCAAATTTCATGGTCATCGTTTATCCAGATGGTCTAATATTCAAATCTATGAGGTAGTAAGTTTGCTATTATTCAGCTAAGAGGCTTTCGATAAGCCTTATGATGTTCCATTTATATCAGACTAAACATAAAATAAGAAATGAGTTGGCGAAGTTCTTTTATGCTAATGAGTTAGGACTAAAAGTTCTCTCACATTACAATTATAGATAAAACTTCGGAACATTCCAAGAAGATTTTATTTCCTTTTTTTTTAATAATTAAAATAGATTAGTTTAAGAATTCCAGAAGTTTTACAACTAAGCCTCATAATAAAAATACATGATGCCAATGATGGATTAAATGATGGAAAGATTATCTGATAACCTTGATACGCTATCTTTTTACACATTATACACTCTAATTTGACACTTTCTATTTATTGTTGACGGAACTTAGAAGGAATGGAACATTTTTGCAAAATGCCTAAAATTTTTATCATTTGCAATTTTCAAAAGTATTGGAATTTTTTGCAAAATTAGCATTAAAATTTTACAAAAATTATTAATAAAAATTTTCCATTAGATGATTAATTTGGAAATATTGAGGGGAAATTCAATTTTGATGTTTCAGATTAGATGTGACATTAACTTGTATGATGGATTTACAACGATTCCCAATGGATAAACAAGAATGTCCACTTATTATCCAAAGCTGTATGCTATCGTCTTTTTTTTCATCCTATGGGATTATTTAACTTAACATCAAAAATATTTTGACTAGAAAATTACAAATTTTTCCTTCCTAAAATACTACAATTCATAATTATCTCTGTCTCAAATCTTTGACAAATTCACTATTTTTTTCAAAGTTAAAACAGAAGAAAGGAAATGGTATGTTGAAATTAAAAATTTCTACAAAATTTTTCTTGCAGAAATGATTTGTTATCAAAAAAATTCTGCAAAAATGATTTGTCACCAAAAAAATCCTTGGACTACATATGTTTATCTGTATATATATTTATACATATATTTAATATGCATATATGCTATAAATATAAATATAAGCATTTATTATTATTATTATATGATTACAAGCATATTAATTGAATATTTAGTACCGATATAGTATCATAATATGTTCTTATTTAATTATTTGGTATTAGACGCAAGTTATTGTAGCGTAGTTTCTGATTAAAAATACAGTGATAATAAATATAAACTGATAACAATTTCAACATTGTTGCAATCAATTTTCCTGATATTTGGAGAACAAAAAGACAATTTTTCAGTTGCTTACGTTGAGAATTTAGTAAATCTAACATGGCACGAAGATCCACCGTATTTTCCCTTTGGAAGTAATAGCGAAATTAAAACGAATGATATGGTTATCACGAGTACAAGATTTGAGAAGTGCCAAACACCATATCAAATGTTTCGTGGTTCCGGTAATTTGTTTTATTTCAGAAACAATTCCCTTTTTTAGCTCCGATTAACAAATTATTTATACTTTTTAATATGTTATGAACAAAAATAATCAAAAAATAAATTGTCTATTCTATTTCAAAATATATGCTTAACATTTGATTAAATCGTAAAAATTATCATTTGAATGTAATCTATTGAGGTTAACATGCCAATTTGATTTAATGTGAACAATATGCATTAATAACCAATATTATTATCATTAGAACAATTGATTGTATTTATATTTAATATAATTTTCAGTTTAATATATAATTACATAGTAACAATATCTTCAGACTAATATATTAATAATACTTTATGTAATGAAAAGAAGTCAAAGAAAAGATGTGAATAAATTATGATAGCAAATCATATTATCTACCTATTATTACTAGTTTATTATGATTAATTGATTGATTATTTATAATAATTATTATTTCTTCTCTGATTGATTTTTTAATTCCATTTCTTAATTGAGCGATTAATGAATTTAATGAAATTTTTTGCCAGGTAATTGGTCATGTATCCGAGGATTGATCGTCATGAAACGATTAATGTTATTTCATATAATTCAAACGTATTTTCCATCAGCAATGCTTGTCTCCATTTCATGGATGAGCTTTTGGCTTGATCCTCGTGCTTCACCGGCTCGCGTTACATTGACCATTACTACATTGCTTACATTGACCACAATGAGTAATGGCGCAAGACAAGATTTACCGCAAGTTTGTTAAAATAATTTTTTTTAATATTTTAAAGGAATATCTCGTAATATTTCTATTTGCATTATATTAATTATTTACAGTTGATTTAATTTTTGGACAAAAAAGAGAAATTTGATTGATAAAAAAAGGAAAAAGCAATTAGTAAAAGAAAGAAAAAGAAAATAAAACAAAAAAGTTAATGAAATATTTATTCCAAAATTTTAATTTTTCTCTATAATGTATGCAAATTGCTTTTAAAAATTTAAAAGTAAAAGTTAAAGTTTAAGTTATATATACATCATTTTTGAAATTATCATATTGTAAATAATGCTATTTATTGATAAGGAAAATATTTCATTCAATGATTTGAATATTTGTTGAGTATTTGATAGTTTTGAATACCATCCAAATTTTATTTATGATATTTTCTATCAAATGAAATTTTTGTTGATGCGAAGAAATAGGAAAACAGAAATGAAGAAATTAATTACTTAGACAATTTGAAAACACAGAGTATCATCAGAGTATTATCACATTCCTATTATATTTGAATATAAAACTAAGGTACTATATTTTAAATGATTCATTTCCATTCTTTCATTCTATTTCTTTCGTTATCGATCCCTGCTTTTATATTTTGAAGCACGATAAAAAAGTTTTTCAAATCACTTTTCAATTCTTACTTTCTTCCAGGCTCGTTTTTAATAATAAAATTAATTTAAGGTGAGCTATATCAAAGCATTGGATATTTGGCTAACATTCTCACAGGTAATTTTTGACCCTTTTGACCTCTTCCTTACTTTCTTTCTTTGTTTTCACTTTTTCAGTTAAAATGACTTAGCAATTCTCTTGTTACTTAAGCATTTCATAATACATTAATAAAATTTTTCGCTTCAAAAAACGCAATAATTTGAAAAAATTCGAAGTTTATATTTGCTAAATCAATTAATTTAAATAGAGTTTTCCTCTTTTTAATCCTAGCCATCAAGCAACTTAATTCATTATCGATTCATTTATTTAATTTAATTTTTAATTACTGAATTAACAAATACAGCTGATTTGATATAATAATAATATTTTTTATCTAATTCACTGTTAAGAAAGAAAAAAATGAAAATGTCTATTTATTTGATTTTCAGTTAATTGCAATTTACGATATATTCAATGCGAATTTCAAAATTTTACAGCACATTAGATTGGCTTTAATATTTTGATATTTGAATTTAATGATTGCTAGGGATAGAAATGGTTCATTTGTATTCCCACAATCTAAAATTTTTAAATTCCTTAAATTAATTAGTAAGCCATGGAATTTTTTGAATTTTTCAGGCACTGATATTTCTTGTATTGCTTGAGTATTCATTTGTTAGCTACTATTTAACCAAACGTGACTATAATTGCATACATCGCCGTATTTTTGGTACCCCCGAACTTTATCCTGAAATTGATAAGGTAAAAAAAACTAATTTCCTAATTTTTTTCTAAATATTGATACTTGGTACCTCTTAAATAATAGTTTCCAGAGAAAAAGAAGTGTTTTATCTAAACATTGTTTGCTTTATTTTGAATTGAGACAATTGCATACTCTAAAAGCAATTTAATAATCTCTTGCAAATAATGATTGGTTGAATTTCAACGAAGCACTATTTGAAATGAATGAAAATTTTGTTGTTTCTTTCCTTTCAAATTAAAAATGAATTTCGTAAATAATACATTTGAGTAAATTCAACCATTAAATGAAACAATTTCACTTTTAAAATAATGAATTATTATTGATGATAATTCATTAATTAGGAAATGTTGCAGAAAAAATTCAGTCCACAAAGTTCGGCAATGACCGGTATTAGAAGATACTCGATAGATAATGGTCATGCAAATGCAGTAAATACGTATTCGCTGAGCGCCGGAATAGCACGATGTTTGCGCAACACTGCGGTAAATATTTTGAATTTATAATTGAAGGTGTGACATATGTATATGTATATGAAACATTTATTAATTAAATTGAAATGATTTTCTTTTTTTTTTTGAACAGAAAGAATTGCCAATATTTTATTTGGAAATACCAATACCGAAATAATGCTAATCTAATAAGTTTATTCCTTTTAAGCAAAATATATAAAAACAATTATTATTCAAATTGCAACAACCGACCATTCATTTTGCTAATTGAACTTTTTCTTTTAATGTTTAATAATTGTTCCCAAAAGTATGCAAATGTTTTAAATATATAAAATAATGATAGAGGTATTTTTGCTTAATTAAATTAACTCTTATTTATTTAAAATGGATTTAAAAGAAATTAAAATATAATTTTCAGACATTAGTTGCTAAAACACAAAATAATAAACACAACAAATTTTTGAATTTCGATATTTCAAAGCCATGTCAGAGATGTATGGCATCAAATGAATTTGTCGCAAGGCAAATTGATCATTGTAAGTTATTTCAAGAATTTATAATAAGACATTTGAAAATTTAGGTAAGGAATTTCAATCGTACATCTAATTATTCCAATTAACTTAAACTATTAAATTTATTTTTTCAATTCTTAATCTAACTTTCATCAAATTTCTTGTTAATTAAGCTAATACTTTGCGGTGTTTATTTACGCTAAATAAAATTGGGAATTATGTTATATTTAAGATTGTTACTGTAAAAAACTTACCTGTCACGCTTCTAGTATGGGTCATTTCTAATACTCCTAGTATGGGTCATTCCTAACTAAAGTTCTAAATTGTTTTACTTAATCAAAATTATTAAGTTTATTTTTATTAACAAAATTAAATATATAACATGAACGAAAAGATTTCTAATATGACTTATCGCTCATGATCTACCCATTGATTGTTTATTTTTAATATTATTTTTGCCATGAACTTAATTAAAATTATTTCACAATTATTATTACCAATTATTCCAACTCTATTAATTAATAAGTTATTTTTGATTTAATTTGTCAATAATTTAGACTGACTGAAATAATTTAAGTATGCTTTCTTTCCTTCGATTTTGTATGATTACAATTAAATTTAATAATTTTTCTTATAGACAGTCGAGTTGTATTCCCAACAGTATTTTTGCTCTTTTCAACCTGTTATTGGTTATACTATAGTTGGTATACTAATGAGGATTAATTGCTATGGATCAAACCAATTTCATTCAGCAAAATTTATTTCACTTCGACAAACTTTGCTCTATTATTAATTATTATTAGTTAACATTATTAGCGTTGTTTTTCATTTATTACAATTACAGAGTTATTTCACGATAAATTTACTTATACTTCTTATATTGTCATACACGTAACAATTATTGTCTGTATGCATCAATGAATACGTAAGTTAAGGAAGATATATGCGTGGGTAAATCTTACACGTTAAATATCATGCAATGTTCGTTTATTTTCGCACACTGTAATGATCAGTATTTATTTGGAAATAGTTTTGCCTATGCAAATTTCAAGTTAATTATTCAAAAATATTATAGGTCAAATTTTAAATTTTAAATTCTTTTTAAAATTTTGAAATTTAGCAGAAATTAATTTATTTTTGGAAAGGCCTTTATTAAAATTATTAGAGTTTAACATGTCGAATTTGAAAAAAACGAGGAAAATTTTTTTCAGGATTCCGGATAAGATTTCCGGAAAAGTGTTCAATATAATGATAAGATAGGAAATATGAAATTTTGCAATTTATGAATTTTTTTCGAAAAATTTTATTATTTTAAATTGAAATATGCAAATTTTGGAATTAATAGAATTTCTAAATTATTCATTTTGTGCAATTATTTATAGAAATGATCAAAATGACTGTTATTTAATTTCTTATTGCATCACAGTGAAGCGGTCTAATTATCAGTGAGCCAATAAATCATCTATTAATTTGGAATCATTCAATGTATGGTACCTATCATATCTATTTGACTTTTCGGCATTTTACCTAACAGTCAGTCAAATGATAAGTTATTCAAAAAAATAATATTAATTGAATGAAACTTCAGATTAGAAATTATTTCTTTAGATGATTGAAATAATTACCTTAAAGACTGGTTGAAAATTTTAACTTTTTAATCTTCTTCTAATGTATAAGATAAGAGATGAAAGAAGAAAGAAAAGGTAACGATTGTCATTTAAAGTGAAACTATTAGTTTAATTTAGATAAGATCAGTTTATAATAAATTTAATACTAACTTAAACGTTGTTTGTTAAATGATTTTATATTATAGGCCTTTTGTTTTAAAATGTAAATATAATAGAGATTAATGTAATTTGGAGGAAGAGAGGAAAAGGAAAAAGGATCATCCTAAGGTAGGAAAATATTGATGAAAATAATATTCAAAATAAATATTTTATTTTAAACGAAATATTAACAGCAGCATTTTTCAATGATACAGCCGAATGATCACAATGATAAGAAATAATATGAAGGTTTTATTTTAAATTAATCTTTTTTTATTATGTTGTAAAATTTTTGATGCTTTTTTCCAATTTTACACATCAAAAATATCTAAGTAATTAAAGAACCACATGAAAAGCCTAATAAACCTTACGCTTACGCATAATTCGCATCCAAAATTATAAATAAAAATTTGTTATTTTGTTAAATTGACAGATTATGTGTATGGTTTGTTAAAATATTAAAACAATTTTGTATTAACTGACAGACAGTTTTAATAAGAAAATATTTAATTATTGTATTCAGAATAACGGTAATGTATATGTGGAAGCATTAGCACAAAAAATACCAATTAGCTATTGTCAACATTTCCAAGGAATTGTGAATGGAAAAAAGGGTGCTAATGTTAGTGATAATATAATAATGTATTTTTCTAAGAAATTTCAAGATCAAAATAGTAATAAGAAAAGAAATCATGAATTAATTAGAATAATGATTAGAATACTGATAACAAAAAATCAGAATGATGATAATAAAAACTTAACTGGATGAGAAAAACAATAATAAAAGTTTGAATAGATCAAAATAATGATAATGAAAATTTCAATAGATTGGAATAATGATAACAAAAGCAATGGCTATAACAAAAATTGAGCGTGGATCAATAGCTGAAAATTTGTTACAATTCGGTGATATAATTACAAATATTAATGATAAAAAAATTGAATCGCCAAAAGAATTCGAAGAATTGATAAGAAAATTTAACGAAAAAGATCACAGTGTTTGTTTTCTCTTTTTCCAACGATAGTAATGTAATCATAATTATGATTATGATTTTACGATAGTAGCAATATTGATGATAATGATTTAAAAAAAAATAAGTACAAATTCTGAATCAAGCGAATTGAAATTATTACAGGAAAAAATTCCATATATTATTTTCGTATCGCCCCTTTTAAAAAATATATTCCGTTTAGAAAACAATTTTACGACTTAAATTTTTAATCATTTGTACATTTTTTTAATTTGTAATTACAAAAATTAGGAGTTAATAATGTGATATAGTTTAAAATTAATGGAATCCGTTTGACAACAAAACTAAAAATGGAAGAAAATCGATTTCCGAAAGGCTATAAGCAAAATACGAATTTTAAGTATCACATTGCTGTAATGTATTTCATTCGAAATTGCAAACTTGCACTCTCTGTTAAATCATACAATAATAAAGTTCTGTTTGTGAATTTTATCTTTCACTTTTTAAATTTCTCTATGATATAAAAAAGAATTAAATGCAATGATAAAATTGAAATGTGCAAATTTTTGTGATATATAAAAATAAGAAAAATAGCAAAATTATATGTTTTCATTTAATTCATTTCAATTAATACCTTTTTCTTTATTTCCTAAAATAAAAGAATAAAATTAATTTTTTGTTTCAAACTTAAATAATATAATTTTTGCATTTTTTTAATGAATGGAAAAGATAGAAAGAAGCATTAAAAGAAAATAAGAAGAACAATATGATTTTATTTTAAACAAAAGATTATTATTATTATTGCAAAAATATGAATAGCATAGATTTTTATGAAAGTATTATTAATAATTTATAACATAAAATGAGTACTGTTAAAATTTTGCTTTAATTAAAATTATGAAAATATTTCTTTTGAGGTGTATGTTACACGTGTGATTGAATATACATTAGCAGGAATGAGCTTAACAAAAGGTGATGCAATCTTAGATGTCGATTCGATTCCTGTTACAACAGTTACTGATTTATCCAACATAATTTCTGTTGGTTTACGAAAAAACGGATATGTAATAAACTTTTTTCTTCCTAATATAAATATTTATTCGTCCGTCTCATAAAACAAATTATGTATAATTTAAAAAAAAAGCAACTAAAACGAAAATTTTCAATTTTAAATTTAAAATTTTAACGTAACATTAAGTCATATTAGCATTTTAATGGTAACGCCTCGTCGATCATTATTTCTCTTTTTTGTAAAAAATATTTTTAATATATTATTTCTTTTCAATCAATCTTCATATAATAGTTTATTGATGTTATCAATTGAATAATCTTTAACAAATCATTAATTGGCTTCTGTTATCAATGTTTTATTAGATTTGATTGGCAGAAAGATTTAGGATGAAAAGGCATTTTGTCTTCTTTTTCATTAAAAAAAAAGATGTAAATGACACTAAGTTGTTTATATGTTTTTGCTCTTCTTTTTTCGACATTATTGCAACTTTCTAAATTAAATTAAAAGCTACAAGTATCGAAGCTTAAATGTGATAATGAAGTTAAATTTTTAAAATTTCTAAATTAAAAATTTTTAAAAATTTGAACTGATTAAATTGTATATTTCAATATTTCTACATAACGCTTTAAAAAATTATCATAATTTAGCATGCTATTTTAAATTAACAAAACAAAGGGATAGCGTTTCATGTGATAACGTATGTAATATATATGATGACAATAAATAAAATTAATGCATAAGTGGAAAATGTACAAATAAGCGCTACGTGAAATGACGTACGTAATATGCACGATAATAAATTTATATAATTGATGCATTAACTAAAATAAAAACGATTTAAAAAAAAGAAAAAAACTTTATAATTTGTATATTTCTTAGTAACAAATTATTTTTTATACTTCTTGAATAAATTTATTTTACACAAATATAATTTTTATAATAAATTTAGGTAACTTTAGTAATTGAGCAACCAAATGATCCAATGGCAACAGCATATGTTCGTCTGGCATTAATGGCTCAAAAATCGGTCGAAATGGATTTGCCACTTGCGCCTGATGTAATTGATATTTGTCAATATGAATATAACCGAATGAAGCAAAACCCTGATTTGAAACCGCATAAAAGCATTTTAAAATCCAGCAAGTAACTTTTTGGTATTATCGAGATGTCGATCAAATAGGGCTTAAGAAAGTATAGCGCTACTGGAAGTAACATATTTGAAAATAAAATTTCAAATAATTTATTTTAAATATTATTAACTAATTTCAATATTAGAATATACAATGGCGAAAACATATATGATTGTTCTTTTTTTCTTTGAAGTGATATTAATAATATTTTGTTTCTATTAAATGATTCGACAAAAATTTGTCATAAAATATAAAATTATATTTAAAAGCTTAATTAAATAAGTTAGAAATTAAATATTTATGTAATATAATGTAAATTGTGTAAATTGTCAAAAAATTAAATTTTTGTAAACAAAACCTAAAAAAACAAAGGAAATATCGAAAATGCAATACAACAGTAAATTAGAAATTAAATATTATAATTTATAGAATAAAATACATATAATGTGATATAATATTTAAAAAAATTAAAGATGATACTCATCAAATTTTTACCAAAAGTAAAATTTTAGGCTATGAAAAAAATAAATTGCAGATATCATTACTTATACAACAGAAAAATATAGTACAATATTTTTGAGAAAATTAAAATTTTCTGACATAAATTTTGAGCTGTAAGATTGAACATTTTTTAGTGATAAGCCACGTCCAATTAATTTACGAATTCATGTAAGCGAGAAAACGGAAGATGTGCCTATTGCATGTGAAGATAATCCGGCATTGTTAATGAAAGTACCAACAGCACCTGACAAACAGCAATATTCTTCATCTTCAGATTCACCAAAACAGTAAATAAAAGTTAATACATAAACATATATGATGCTCAGAGAGTGGTGCAATTTATCAATATTGTATTAAATATATTTTATATAAAAAATAAATAATTTAATAATTGAAAATAACTTTTTGAAGTTTTTACGATGGCAAAGCAAAATATGCTACAATTTTTGATGCGATTCTAAATTTAATTTTCTAGGCATAACTTTCTTCGCTTTTCTTACACAAGAAATCTCTTCATGGTACTACGTACTACTTGGAACAATAATCATATTAAAATTTCAAACAACGAATCTCCACGGAAGAGCGCTACGATGAGGATAGCAATTGTTAAAACACATATTATATGCGCAACTGCGGATTTTGCAGACCTGTTTAGTCTGATTCCAGTTAACAAAACTTTATGACCTGAATTCATTTTCGAATTTTCGAATCATTTTCATTTTCATTTTCGATATCATTTTCATATTTCAAGAATGACTATTCCCAAATTTGCTTTAAATGTTACTGCACAAAAAATTCATTAGATGTCATGATGAAAGCATTACAAGATAGAATTTGGCAGCTAATTAATGTTGGGAAGGCAGCAACGATAAGAATATTAAACGGACGTCTTTGCCAAAGTGTATCATCTTCTAACGAAAACTTCTGATAGGATAATTGAAAGCAGAGTGAAAAAGAGAAATGAACTTTAACGAGATGTATTCATTATAAACGAAGCGATTCACATTCAATCAACCTTTCAAACAATAAAATGAATTATCAGTGGGAAAAGTGATGACAGTAATGATAATAATAACAATAATAAAAAGAATGATAATAATGCCGCTGGTGCATTCTTTCAGAGAGAAATATACAAACAAGAAAGCAAAATACGAATGGAAAAGCGATCAAAGGCACAGAAAGCAGATGCACAAAAAACGGCTAAACAGAAAACAGTATACTATCTGTGGGTATACTAAATACAGTATAACATGTCACTGATCGAATATAAGACATGAAATTCAAGCAAATTATTTCAATTCACAATTGATAACATCATCATCAAGTTGTTCAGAGAAAACACGTTCCTCTCTACTTTGTAATAAATCCATACATAACATATGTATGCATTTTGAAAAGTCATTTTTTTCATGTGAAATATTTCAAAGCAAATATAGATTTATATGCCTTATATGTCCAAATTTAGTAATCATAATCTCAGTCTACATGCAGCTATTCTGTAAATTTGTTCAGGTAAATTAGGAAAATTTTTAAATCCTAGCCGAATTAAGCCAATCGCTTCAAAGTTTTTTTTTACAGCCCAAATTTCATGTGCTAATTTTGGCTACACTTAAGTACATCTGAACGAATCAAAAAATTTCTTCCATTCTTCACTAATTCTGCTCCTACCACTCGGCCTCACCCGAACAACGCTGAAAGCAGTGATCCTTACCACGTATATGCATTACCCCATCCTTCAATGTGAACTTCCACTTGCTACGAGCTCGATGTACCTGCAAAACCAATAATAACTTCTGTAGTAACTACACATACTTAATGACGATTACTCTAAGTGCGAAATCACATAATTCATCAATAATTGTAATTGTGAATGTTTACAAAAAAAACTTAGGACTTCAGGAATTCTGAAATGAAAGTACTCATTGAATATTAGAAGTCAAACTACAACAATATATACAGAAGCTACTTTTTCAAATTGGCACATGACGAGGTTCTCTGCTTCGAAAAGCCTCTCCACATCTTCATCGTCGCTTTGATCATCACCAGAATTTAGAGGATCTTCTTCGGTCACCTAAATTTATTTTAGATATTTCAATTATAAATCAACAGTGCCGTCAGCAATAAGGAGTGATACAAAGTTATTATTCAGTAAAGCTGAGAAACGAATTTAAACAACAAGGGAATAACTAAATCAAAAAGCTTCAAACTATTTTATTCCATCTTCGTTTAACCGACTCCGATCCGCTTAGAGACTCTTAAGATGTCTTATTTTTTGGATAAAAATAAAACTTTATGGTATGGAGATAACTAAACTACACTTCGCAACATGCAGAAACAAATGTAAACTGAAAATTTTGAATCACATAATTCATCAATAAATCCTTTTTGATATAAACAGAACTACTTTTTTATTTCTGACAGTAAAAACCGGTTCACCAAATAATTAGATACCTGATCTTCGTCTTCAACAGCATTTCCTTCTTCACTTATACGGTCAGCGATAGTCCTCAGTGGATCATCATCATCTTCTTCGTCCATTTCTTCCTCTTCTGATGATGAATCACTAACTCGAGTTGCTCCATCTAACTGTACTAATTTTTTTAAAGTACCTAGAACACGAATGAAATTAATTAAAATTCCCCACTGTACTGATCAGCATACTAAGATGGCAATGTGTGAGACTTCAAGTGCTATTATGTTTCTAAGTTTAGCAATTTCGCTCGGGCCAATATGAATTTCAGTGGCAAGTGGAGAACCATACTTAAATGAATTAAAAATCTGCATAATCAGTTACTACCTTTACCCTTACATTTTTGATCGGTTTCTCGTCCTGTGTACTTCTGATTTGTGCGAGACGAACCAGCTTTAGATGTTTTGGCAATCAAACTAGTTGCTCCGTCAAGCAACTGAATCGTATCTTCAGGTTTCACATTAGACTGCCCAGGTTGAAGTGACTGTCTATTTGCCGGTTGATAAACGACGGCGTTATTCAGTGTCACCGGGATTTGTGAACCAGCATTCAAAATCATAACGCTGCTGCCCGTCGGAAGATTAGCTGCACCACTTCCTGCAGAAAATTGAGAACCCATCAGTGCATGATGCTATTCTACATGCAATAATTCTTGACATCAGGTTTACCAGAAGACAAATAGCAATCCTAAATTCGATAATTCTCCCGAGATTTAAATTTCTGTGACTATAGAGCATAATAAGATGGTTAATAAGAAAAAATTAAACTTAGTACCGTGCATCAAAAACTGTTGACCGCCCTGTTGAACAATTCGTGCTTGACCCTGTCCAGCAGGAAATGTAATCATCCCAGGAGACATTGTGGTTATCTGCGATGTGTTCTGGTTCATTGATTGCCGCTGAAATCATAACTCACCCAAAATATACACCTTTAACCTAAAGAATGTTATATTGAACATATTTTCACTAAAGGAACACCATCATTCCGTATCAAATCGCATATTCTGTATGTCCATTTTTCTTGTTCACAATGATATACAAAATAAAACTGACTTTGTCATTTTTCACAAATTATTGGAAATTTTTTTCTTTAACATCTTGCTTGTTTTAATCAATACAGGAAGAAGCAAAAAGAAACAAAGGTAAAAGATCTTAAGCACCCATAAAAACCACAATGTAGACAACCCACGATAAATGGAATTAGTAAATCAGTAAGTCGAATTTTGTGAAGATTTTACCAAGCGTAAGCAAAATTCAGCTTGTAAAAATAGTACCACTCAGAAAAATATGCCGTTTATTGCATTGAAAAACCTGTTTTCGGTGGTAAATCAGTCAAAACACCGCAATCACACAACTGACTTATAATGAAAAATTACCTGTATTACAACGGTGTTTGGGTCACCACTGATCGGAATATTAGCAGTGCTAATGTACTGCACCTGCTGCACTGGCCTTTGTATGCTTGATGTACCACTTGCTTGCATAACCAGTGCCGGCTGTTGAGCCTGTGACGATAATAATGATGATCGTGCCGGCTGCTGAACCAATATATGCTGCAAAAATAGGAATAAGTTGAAGAGCAAAATTTCTAAGATCGCTTCAAATGTATTGTACAACAGATAAGCTTCGAAATGTACAACGAAATCTAAAAATATTCAAGAGTAAACAAGCAATGAGTGGATACTTGACACCATTTCTTCATTTCATGAAAAGGTTGACAGAATGACTATACTTTGGCATGGGCTAATCATGTGATATTAAATAAGAAATCAAATCTGCCTGTTTGACTAGAATAATGATTAACCTTGTCTTCATAAATTGCAAGTTCACTAGTGATTAAGGTTTGATGGGTCTTAAAGGAATCAGACTGATTCTAACCGGCTCCTCCTACCGAAAATTAATTACCCAGCACGGTATAACATTATCACCAAAATAGTTTGAAAGTAAACATGAAAAAAACAGATGGCATTTTTTCTTCACAATTAATTTGCTCAACAAAATAAATCTACTTAATTCCTGCATACATTCCACTGTTCCATGTGTTATCACTTCTAAAAAAACATTTTTTTTTGATAACGAGAACTTCATTCATCGCATAGATGGATGAATCATACATCAGAGAATACTGATATATGAAATATAACCATTTTAAAAGCATCCAGTTATTTACCAGGCGATAAATGACTTCATTAATAAACAAAATATCGACTTGTCATTATTTTTTCCCTTCCTTTTCTTGAAAATCGAACTACAATGTAAAAAATAATATCCACCTGCCCATTTTGTGCGATACGGACAGTGCTGCCTGGAGGTATAGTTGTACTTGTCATAATCGGCTGCTTCACCTGTCGTAATGGAGGTGGTGGTACATGTCGTGGACCATCCCAATCAACACTATTGCTAGCAATTAACTTCTCTTCCCAGTCCTGGAAAAGCCTTGAGTTAAAAGCTTATGACAACAAAACTTTCCAAAGCAATGGGAAGTCGCATGATTTTAAAGGCTCTAGGAAAACGAAGATAACAGCAACGAAAACAACGAATGAACTATGTAGCTAATTAGCTACATAATCAAGAGTTTCATCACTGAAGCACAGAGATTTAAGAAATTATTGCTAAATCAAAAAGGGCAATATAATTAAAATATAGCAATTCTTCATGAAGAAGCCAAATAACGACAATTTACCTTTTTAAGCTGCTGTAAAACATCAATATCAATGTTTTCGTCCAGAAATGCTTCCTTAACTTGCCCAATGACATCATTTATCACACCTTTGTACACATCTGCCTGCAAAAGCTTTTCCTTGCCCTTTCCTACTCCATAATATTTAGTTGTGAAAATCAATAAATGCAAAAGTATCAAAAATACCTGACTGAAGCTAATACTTCCAATGAAACCTTGCAATCTAAGGAATTTACATAAACAGATAAATAGATTCTGCAAAATATCTTCAGCAGAAAATAATCGAAACTTCTTTTTTGAGCTGATTAAAGTATAAATGTGATATCGAAGCAAAGATACTCGTGTGTAATATTTCACATATGATTTCTACACTGCATATACGCTTTATAGAAAGGAAGAGCTAACAAAAATACTATGCAAGCGTATTTACACAAAAAGCACGAAAATCATATTAACAAATTCATATTTTGCAAGGGACTTATGAAATGTTTAAATTTAAAACTAAAATTTTCACTTCAAAATAAATCGTTCAATAAATTCGAAGAAAAATGAACTTACGATAGTATGGCCTGCTTGTTGTTGTTGCGACATTGTCCAAGCAATGACAATGCGTGGGAAAGTTCCTGACAAAGTATAATTTGTGCGATGCTAAAATTATATGAATCAAAAATGGAAATTAAGAAATTGAACCACAAAAAAATGAATGATTATAACAAAACTATTACATTAAGCACACGATTTGTCATATTGATTAATCAATAGTTAGGCTTCATTGACTAATGTAATCTTATACTTTTGCATATGTCATCCACTTGTGCTTAATTGCTTTAAGTAGTAAATGTACAAACATAAGCCAAACAAACCAACATACACTACAGCCTAATTAATAAACCTCAATCCGACAAACACGAAACAACCACACCGCACTTAATCACTCTTTGCCAATTGCTATTTCTAATAGCGGCCATTTTAGCCGGGCCTCTGTACAAACGATGATCCCAAAATATTTTTGATGTCTGTTTTTTTTGTTTTTCTGTTCTAGTTTATTATAAGTAATATTGGAATATAGTTTTCTAAGTTTTGATAATTCTTATAAAATATGCAAATTAATTAAGTGAAATGTTAGTGATTTTTTCCTCAATTTTATACTGGAAGATAATTTTTTAAATCTTATAAATTTTCATAAATTATACAAATTAATTAGAAAACTGGTTAATGATTTCTATCTTTTTTTGATTTTACTAATTTATAATAGATAAAAATCGAATATAATTCTCTAAATTTCGAAAATCTCAGTAAAATCCATGGACTAATAAGATGGAATAGTTAATGATTTGATGTTCAAAATTAAACTTAGCAGCGGAATATAAATGAGATATATTATTAATTAATATGATGAATGCTGCATGCATTTTTAGTTAGGCAATATTTATTAGCGAAAATTTGTTGGAAGTTTTTGTTCACAAGTTTATCTTGAAAAATTAATTTATTTATTTTAAAAACTATTAACAATACTAAAATATAACATTTTGATAAAACATTGCTAATTTGATAGTTATTATCATTGATTGAAATGGTATACTAAAAGTTTCATTATTCGAAATAAAAAGTTTTCAATTTTTGAATGAATTGGAATTTGAATGATTTGCAATTATTTGTATGAGAGAAAGGATGAAAGAATATGAAGAGGAAATTTGAAAAAGAAAACGACACGAAACACCAAAGTTGGGAAATAGAAAGTAATAATTTTCAGGTTTGTTCCTAAAACTAAAACTTCCTAAATCCCATCCCATCCAGCTTTTCAATTCTATTCTAACTAAGGTTATTACTTGGTAATGCCCATATATGAAGTCATTCTTCAGGTATTCGAGAAACCATACGATATAAAACTGTCCAGCATGCGTGTGTCCTGATAAAACCAATCCAGTAGTTAATCATATCCTTACTTAGCTATTTTATCCCATCCAAGCTGCTAATCTTATTCTTCTAATAAGCTGCTAATTCTATTTCATATCAGCTGTTAATTGCATTGAAATTCCCTAGTGAAAGTAGCTATTTTTTATAGTTTTGAGCTCAATTTCTTCATGCAATAAAAAAAATTGTTCTTTTGATCTTTTTGCAGTTTTTAGTTTTAATTTATTTAATAAATTAATTGAAAAAATTTTTGTTTTTCCCAATAATAAATTTTTGCTTTGTTATCAAAGATAATAGAAAGGAAAACAAAACAAGAAACTTCCATTTCTAACTTTCTGTTCCTTTTCCTTATCAAACTGATAGTTTTGTTTGATTTGAAAAAGAAGGAAACGAGGAAAAGGAAGAAGAATAACGAGGAAACGAAGAGGAAAAAATCCTGTTTTAGATTCCATGAACATATTGAAACCGTAAAACAGGACTTAAAATCCGGTACATCACTGCTGCATATCATGTTATTGATGTGTTAATGATAAAAATCTTAGATGATTTACTGAATTAGATATGAAAGCAAAAACAAAAAGAAAGAAGAAAAAGATAGAAAGGAATGAAAAGAATAAAATGAATTGCTATGTTTTTTTTATACTGCAAAATTTAATTCAAATTTTTTTGGCCTTTTTTTGTTGTAATATTGATTGATGTAAGTTTACAATATAATTAATTTAAATTTTCTTTTTTAAATCTCAATTTTTGGTAATTATTTTATTATATATTTATTATAAATAATTATTAAAAAATTTTTTTCGTATTTTTACATTTATATTTCTAACTAAAATTTCGCATAATTTTCTTATAACTTTTATTATTTACAAATCTGGTAAGCTTGAAATTTAGTAAGCTTTCATTTATTATATATTTTAGGTTTTCATTTATTATTTGATGAAATTGAAGAAAAAAGTTAAAACAAAATTTATTTTATCCAAAACAAAAAATCCTAAAATTCTTCATCTTTTCTCTTACTTTTAAAATAACTGAATGAAATCGATCATATTGTTCATTTCGTACATTTTCATATACTTACTATTAATATCAATGGATGGCTATTAATTAATTTAATATCTAAATTTAATTCATTTACTAGAACTTATAAATTTAACATTCAAAATTTCATAAATTCGAAATACAAAAAAAGTTTTTGGGACATAAAAAATTACTGTAAAAATGTATATTTTACTTTTCCTTTTTAGTTATTTTAAATTGCAATAATGTCAACAAAAATATCAATCAAATGAAAGATGAAAAAAGAAAAAGAAATGTTGAAATTATTATGAACAAAAATGAAATTAAGACAAAAAAGAAATTTGTAGAAATAAAATCAAAAAATAAATTAAAATCAATGCCTCAACACCGATCCTCTTAATTGACGTAATAGAAAAGTGAGAAGTGATCGCAGTGAGCGTACGGACGGACATTTCCCATCACTAAATAATTATATATCGAATGATATCACTAATGTTTCTTTCATTTATTTCTTCACCGTCGGCAACTATTTGTGCGGATGACGTACTCTACCTGTCTTTACAATTCATGTATTTCATTTAAATCAATAATTTCTCTCATACTTTTTACTTACCTTCTTTGTCTATATTTTGTAATTACATTAATGACAATACACAAATACTGAGGAGTTTTAATATTTTAAAATTTTAATTAGCGAATGTTTTTCACCGGGTCACAAATTCATAAATAAAGTAAAATTTCAATTTGCTAAATGTAAACAATAAATTTTCATTCATAATAATTATCTATTTTTAATGCAAAGCAAAATTTCAATTTTACTAATTTGACAAAATTTGAGGCATATATTTTTATATATAAAATAATTAGTTGTTAGATTCGGATAGTAGTTGATGGTTGTTTTGATAATCCATAAAACAAATTTAACAAGAATATTTTACATAGAAGCAAATAGTATAGCATTGTAGAACTTCATTTGTTGCTTTAATTTACATATAGCATAATAGTATTGTGGCTCTAGCTTAAGGTAAATAAAATTAAGCTTTCCTTGTAATGATAGAATAATAATTAGAATAATGATAGAATATAATATGATATAGTAGAACAGAATAATGGTAATAATAATGATAAGAATAATGATAAATAAGAATAAAGCAGAATAATAATGATAGAATAGAGTAATGTTAGAATAATATTAATTCTATCATTATCTATCATTCTATCATTAATAATTCGATTATTTGTAGTGATTCCATCAGAATTACAGTACAAATAATCATTACAAATTTGCAATGATTCTATTACAGAAAAATGATTGTATCAATATATGGATAAACATAACAACCAGAACTTCCCATTACTGCAATATATTCGATTTCGCTCATATTACTCTTTTCTATGCGATAATCTATGTGATAACAGTTCGCTCATATCACTATTTTCCACATGATAAATTCAAAAGAAAAAAGAAAAATAAGAATTCGTAGGAAGTGATTTTATGAATCCAATATTTTCAAATTTTAATCAGTGTAATTTTGGAAAAAGAGAAATGAAATGGGAAAGCAGTGGAAACATATCGATTTTATGGTAAGATGATGACAATTTTAAAAGATAAGAGATGATAATTTAAGTATTTAAGAACTTGTTGAAAGCTATACCGCCACAAGCAACAATAATTAGCACTAAATTATGATCATTTGTTTAATGAGAAAAAAAGAGTAACGAAATGATCAAACTTAACAATCATTTAATTAATAGTTCTATCATACATATTCTTTAATGGATATTAATTAAAAGAAGAAAAAATTCATTATTATTATTATTATTATTATTATTATTATTATTAT